GATAGATAGATAGATAGATAGATAGATAGATAGATAGATAGATAGATGGCAATGTCTGTATCTCAACTTTTAAACTCATAGAGAAATGCACCATAAATGTCATAAAAAGTTAAATAAATGTACATCTGCCCATGCTGGGAAACAAAATAAACAAGGTTACATTGAATATCTGTATCTAAACTTTTAAACTCATATAGAAATGCACCATAAATGTAATAAACAGTTAAATAAACGTATGTCTGAGCAGACCTGCTATGTTTTACAGATGGCGGAGCACGCTCTGTCTCAGGAGCTGCTGTATTCTGGACAGTTTCGCAGCGTTTCCTACCTCCTCCATCTGGCTCAGTTTCAATTACTCAGAGGTGACTACCCCAGTGCTGCCGCCAGCCTCAAAGAGGTTCTGTCTCACCGATATCAGGTACTCCACATCAGAATAGGATAGTAGAGTATATATACAGTGGGGGAAATAAGTATTTGACCCCTTGCTGATTTTGCAGGTTTGCCCACTTACAAAGAATGCAACGATCTATAACTTTAATCATATTTACATTCTAACAGTGAAAGACAGAATCCCAAAGAAAATTCCAGAAAATCACATCATATGAATTTATAAAAATTGATAACCATCTGATGAGGAAAAATAAGCATTCTTTGTAAGTGGGCAAACCTGCAAAATCAGCAAGGGGTCAAATACTTATTTCCCCCACTGTAGTAGTTTGTGGAATTGTGTTCCGTCTTTTTAAATTCCCAAATCTGTGATTTAACACATTTAGATAGCAGAACAAACACTATGTATGTAATTCTCATTCTTGCTCCTGTACGGTTAATCTCAGCCTGCACAGGCTCCGCCCCATCAACGTTTGCAAGTACATATCGATGCAAACTGCAGGAAGCTAAGGATGGATATCTAACTCCCCCACATCCAAGTCGGCCATTTTGATTAGGTCACCAATAGGAAGATCCCAGGCAAGAAAATCGTAATTGCTTCATGGCAATATAGACATTAATTTAGAAATAGTGAAATTAATCTTGCAAAGACTGAATTAAACTCTATCTATAATATTATGTTAAAATAGTGGATGTTAAATAGGTTTGTACAATAAGTCCAAATTAGTTTAACCAAAAAATATTTATTTCTCACAATTATGAAGGCTGGAGGGTCACGGTTAGGGCTAGGGTCAGGGTTAGGGCTAGGGTTTGGGTTTGTAAATTAGGGTTAGGGTTTGTAAATTAGGGTTAGGGTCAGGGTTAGGGTTAGGGTTAGGGTTAGGGTTAGGGTCAGGGTTAGGGTTAGGGTTAGTGTCAGGGTTAGGGTTAGGACATCGTTTGTCTTCCGATTTCGTATGGACAGTAAAGTTTCGTTTCCACCTGAGAAAGCTGCTAGTCACATGACCTAATCAAAATGGCCGACTTGGATGTGGGCGGAGTTGGACATCCAACCAGAGGCAGCTCAACGTTCGGCACCTAAAAGGAAGTGTTGCTAATGGATGCCACAACCGTTTTACACTCCCAAAACTTATCACAAGTTTCTGAGATACAAATCATCAACTGTACATCAAAATAAAACTCAATAAGCCATCTTCTGTCCATCATCCTGTTGTGTGTTTGACATCAACAGGATGCAAATGCCTGGTCTCTGAACGGTCACTGCCACTTCCTGCAAGGAGCCCTGACTGAGGCCCAGGAGAGCTACGAGTGGAGCCTCAGCCTCCAGGAGCCACCGTCCGACTCCCACATCGTGTTCCTGCGTCTGGGATCCATCTACCTGAGGCAGGAGAAGGTAGATATTAAGGGAAATATCACTAGTGGATCATTGGGCTTTTTCACCCAGATCAACTCATTGACTGCCAGCCATTTTCAGAACAGAGTCCCATACTGCCAGAGTTTTTAGAGCATTTTGACTGATTTTTCAAGAGCCACAGAATAGTTTGTGCTATGACTATGTAAACACCGAACACGCCAAAAGAGAGTAGACTCTCTTCTTTCATCAGGAAAAAGTTGTGTTTCAACCTTATTCCGTTCTTTAGTAATCAGCAGTAGAACATAGGTTGGTTTCAACAAAAACACCAGTTTTTGACCAGTCTTTGGCCATTGTCTTTGGCAGTCAACGGTTGGATTTGAATTGATGTCTATAGATGTCTTTGGCAGCCAATGAGTTAAAGGGATCTGGTTAGTTACCAGATAAAAATATGTTGTGTTATGTTAACTAAGAAAACAAGAAAATTGCTCACTACCCTACAAATTTGGTTTAATTTAAAGTCTCTAATTAGGCAGCTAGTCTATATTTATGCCAAAAATACTAGATTTGTCCAAACTTATAAAGGTAATAAAGGTTATTGTGCATTATACAGTGGGGGAAATAAGTATTTGACCCCTTGCTGATTTTGCAGGTTTGCCCACTTACAAAGAATGCAACGATCTATAACTTTAATCATATGTACATTCTAACAGTGAGAGACAGAATCCCAAAGAAAATTCCAGAAAATCACATCATATGAATTTATAAAAATTGATAACCATGTGATGAGGAAAAATAATCATTCTTTGTAAGTGGGCAAACCTGCAAAATCAGCAAGGGGTCAAATACTTATTTCCCCCACTGTAGCTATAAAATGTCAGTTAAACTTGCAAGTGTCTCATGAACTACTATATTATGTTGAAAGATTTTAATAATCTAAGAGTCCCATTTGAAGCCACTAACCTGTGAGTTTTTTTACTTTTACCCTCAGTTTGACCGGGCCAAAGTTGTTTACCTGCAGGCCTGTGAGCAGTCTCCATCATGTCTGACCTGGCTGGGCCTGGGAAAAGCCTGTTACAGGGTAAAAGTTTATATCTGGAATAATGATGCAAATGATTTAAGTTATATTTGATTTAGTTCCTCTGGTTTAGTTCATTAAGGGATGTCATAGACATAGACATAGACATAGACAACTTTACTGTCATTTTGTGTGTACGGAGTGCGCACAAAACTAAATTTCATTGCATACAGCTTTAGACAAGAACAGGATTCAATAATTTAGCAGTCTAATGGCAGAGAAGTTTAAAAATAGAAATGGAAATTTAAATTTTTGAAAGTGGAGGTGATTAGACAGTGAGGTTAAATTCTGTTCCATTACATTAGTGAGAAAAGCCGTAATCAGACTTTCTTTGTACAGCTGAAGGAGCTGTGTGTGGCGGAGGAAGCTCTGACTGAAGCCAACCACCTGAACACGGAGAATGCAGAGGTGTGGGCTTATCTGTCTCTAATCTGCTTTATGGTGAGTGATTACAGCGCTCTGAAAACACACTGACAGCCTGCTCCACTTCCAGCTCTGCCTCTCCTCAGGGTTTTTATTCGAGATAAAATATGATCTGATATGAAGTGTGCAGACAATTTATCTCTTATATGCATCATACAGTAACCTCTTTCTCCAAACATGAGAACAGAACTAGTGTATCTTCTGTAAACATGAACTCAAAGCAACAGGGTAAGCATAGATTAGATGGATTGGATTGTATGTGTTATGGTAAAACCTGTATCTCAAAGCTTTGGTTGATATAAGTTGATGATATGTTAACTGAAACTAAAAATCTGTATTTTCTCTTCTTTCGGATGCACTTCTTGTTACTGTGCACTATTTTATTTTTATATTGTATCATGTTCGAATAAAGCCACTTTATTATTATTATTATTAAGTTAACCCTGTAATGCCAAATGTATCATATTTGATACGTACGGTTTCTGAAATGTTTTGCGTTTGACACCTTTTGAATAATTTAATGGTAAAAACTTTTATCAAAATCCTATTGTACACAATCAGATACACCTGATAACAGGGGGCAGAAGACTACACAAAAAATAATCTTGACTTATCGCATAGTAATAAATTATTAATATAAAAAATGTATTTCTGTCTTTTCTTTTTACATATTTTGTTAAAAGGCCAGATAAGGAATTCAAACAAAAAAAGTAATTTTCTGTTTTGTTTTATTCTTGGATCAGGCTTTAAAGGTTAAAATATACCTGCTGATGATCATATAAACTCACTGAATTCTTCCCTGGCATTTGATCACTTTTCCACTAATTTGGTTTTGAAGGCATGATCCTCAGATATTATATAAAGGCCCTCATAGAGTCACCTCACAGTGCAAGCCACAAACACAAAGAAAAACAAACAGTGTTTTTTTTTATCTAAAACTTAAATAAATAATCACATGAATCCTTCTTTTTTAGTCTGGCCGACAAGAGGAAGCAGAGCGGTTTTGCAAATATTCCGTCAGGGTGAGTCATTTTTATGGTATTTATGTGCTTATTTTTGGATAAAAGATGACACAATGATGTCATTGTTCATTTTTTAAAATACCATGAAATGGGTATATAAATTCAGAAATAAGGATAACTTTTAAACTTTAAATTTATTTAGTAGTAGCCAAGACAAACAGCTTTTTGAGCATTCAGAAGCATCTGATTTGTGAACAGTTTGGCGTGCCTCCTTATAACTGACCTTATAGTGGCATTGTAGTAGATCTGAGCCTGACCGTCCTAATTGTCTTAACTGGCTGCATCTGTGAGGGTGCCGCGAGATAAAAGACATGAGTGGTTAGGTGGAGACAAGGACTTACTCCTTTAGTACGTATACTCATGTTGCCTATATCCTAGAATTTAACTCAATGAGTAAAAAAAACGCTTTATATTTGTGAATTCTGTGTTAATTCCCTTTTCTCTGTTGTTTCCCTCAATCCTGGCCATACCCATTAACTATTTGATTATTATTTCTGAGATTTTTCTCACAAGAATCAGTGTTTTTGTACTTAAAATGTCATCCACATCACCAAAAAGCTGTTTTTAATCCATACCTGACGAAATAGAAACTCCTCTAAACCCTTTTTTTGTTTACAGTTCAACCTGCAGGAGGAGTCTCTCCTCCAGGAAATCACCGACCTGAAGAATCAGCTTCGTTTCAGTCGTCTGACCTCATGCTTCAGAGCAAGCCCTGAAGCAGAAGTTTAACTCTTATGACCAAATACATGTACACAACTAACAATATAAATGTTTTAAACAGAGTTTATTGTAATTGAAGCACATGTAATATTTGAAACTTCGCATTTCAGTGGCTGAGATCAGCAACTGTTTTTAGCCATAAATATTCAAATCAGGTCAAATATAACAAATAGACTTTGAGCAACACAAATAGTATCAAATACATATAAAACACATGTAAAGTTTATTCTTTAACTTACACCGTGACAGCAAAAGGAAAGAACAGGTGACAAGATAATAAATAAAAAAAAGGTAATACTGCATACGTAATCATTACTAAAAATCCACTATAAGCACATTAATAAGGCATTGCAATGCTTGTAGAACATTTTTTATAACACTCAATATTCAGAATTGTGCATAACATGTCTATAGAGGTTTGTGGACTGTTGTGTTATGGAGGCATTAAGCATTATAAATGACACCCTCTCAGTTATTTACAAACCTCTGAGTTATTCACATTTAAAATTATTTTTAAAGATGCTTCAAAAGTCTCGCGAATACATTATAATGTCTTGTGAATGTGCTTGTAGTGCATTATAAATGTTTTTAAGAAGTGTGACCTACATATTAACTCAGGTTTCATAACCATTTGAACAGAAAACAAGCCTCACAAAACATTCTTGCCTCATTTTTGTCTGAAACACCTTCCCAAATTTGGCACAATCTTTCCTGCCTTGAAGGAAATGTTATAAGGAATGCTTGTTTGGGCCTTTAAAGTAGATTTGTAATGGACATAACATCAGCCCTCTATGTTTTACATATACATTAGTTCTTGATTAAACTTTAAATGCTCTTAAAATACATTTCCTTTCCCTGGTCACTGGTCACTGTCTGACCCGAGCAAAGACCTCTCGCAGCCAGGGTGAATCCTCATACAGACGGGGGTCCCCCAGGTACTCCGAGGTCCTCTTATAGAAGTAGTAGTACAAAACAGAAGCTACAAAGGGGAAAGTAGATTTATTATATCTGCACCACAAACTCAAAAAAGTGAATTGTTTTCACCTTTTACATCAACTCAACTTTATTTATAAAGCGCTTTCAGTCAGCCAAAGCTAAAATCAAAGCGCTGCACAGGCCATTTGAGCAGATCCTAAAACACAATTATCACCACAACACAAGACAAACTCAAAGATTAAAAACAGTAAGAGCAAAAAATAATTAAAAAAAACAAAACCAAGTAAGAGAGGGAAATTAAGACAACTCAGATAAAGTCGAAGTCTCACTCAAAGGCCTGAGAGAAAAAGTGGGTCTTTAAAAGTTTGAAGGTACCCAGATTTTTGTCCACAGATACAATTTTAACTGTTTATTGCCAAGGCAACTAAACTAATATCATGATGGTCATGTGTTGGAGATGGTTGGATATTGCACATTAACTAGACTGAATCCATTCCTTTAAGTAACTTTAGTTGAAGTGTCATTCTTGCATTTTGTCTCCTAATAGCGATTCCAATTCATTGTGTTAATTTCCCTCCATTAGGATCACCTACTTTTACATCACTATTGCAGTTTTCAGTGCTTTGAAAAGTAAACAGCAACCTCTCCCATCACCTTTTGGTTTGTTTTGCTTCACTTATTTTTTAACTAAGTGGTGGAAAATATTAAATGACAGCTCATTCTTTTACCACAAACATGCCAGAGTTTGATTTGAGAAATGGAAGAATCCTGTTAAAGAAGCTAACCCAAAGGCTGAGCAGCAGATATTTCAATTCAATTCAATTTTATTACTCTATTACCTTCCAAACAGAGCAGGTCAGACCCTACTCTGAAGTTAATTACAGAAACCCAACAATTCCCACCATGAGCAAGCACTAGGCGACACAGGCAAGGAAAAACTATTTAAGCTCAGTAACCTAAAAACGTCAATTTTTTAGACTTTTTTGCCACTTTTACATGTGGCATTTGTTGAATTGGGTTAATAATATCTGTCTTTTCATACAGTATGTGTACAGATTTAGGGAAAATGACTTCTCTGTGGTAATTAGCCATTAGCTTAGCTCCTTCAGATTTCCTCCCTGCTTTTCTAGCTCACATCGCCTCACTCAAAGGGAAAAAACAAAGACACAGAAGGCAAACCGCAGATTGCAGAGGAGGAGAAAGGGGAAAATCCCAGAGGGGTGAGTCATGCACTAACACCGGGACACATAAGAAAAGGCCACAGTTTGTCTCATACGCATTAGGGATCACCTTCCCTTCCCAGAATCCGTTTATCCCCTAATGAGCTTACATCAGTATGAAAATCACACCCGAGTTGTGATGTGACGGGCTTTTTTTCAGAGGAGAGTCCAGCCCTTTTCCTGACTAAGACAAATCTATGACAAAATCCAATGTTTTCTTTTAGTCACCTAAATTGTTTTTTGCAGGTTTAACCAACAGACTGTTTACTGGCTAAGCCTCTGTCCATATGAGCCACAGACAGGTGGAGAAAAATGCTGCCAAACCTTTTTATTCATATTGTGGGGGATTACCCCCATGCATCTTATCTACATTATTAAATATAAGACAAAAAAAGTTATCACGTCACTTTTGCCTAATATTTCTACGTACAATTAGGATTTAACCTTCAGTGTTAAGAGTTTTGTGACAACTAACCCTAACCTTAACAATAATAATAATAATAATAATAATAATAATAATAATAATAATAATAATAATAATAATAATAATAATAATAATAATGATGAT